TGACCCATTGTTAACGCTTCATCATACGGCTAGGCCGGAATGTGTCAATGCAGCCTATGAACCAGTGTGTGGTGCTGTCGATCTGGCAGCGCTGCGCAAGTGGCCAACAACAGCGTGAACACGTGGAGCGCCATGGCGTGATGGGCGTGTTCAGGTGTTATAAATCCAATTAAATAGTTGTGTCCTGAATAAAAAATTCGTTGATAACCCTTCATTGTATGGCTAGGCCGGAATGTGTGGATGCAGCCTATGGACCAGTGTGTGGTGCTGTCGATCCGGCAGCGCTGCACAAGTGGCCAACAACAGCGTGAATGTGTGAAGCGCCATGCGTGTGGATACTACAAGTGCGATGGGAAAGTTTTATAAAGAATGTATAGATCCCTATCTACTTATCGTTGTACAGTAAAGCCAGCATACGCTGATGCCGGCAGTCGACGGGTGTATGAGCAGCGTCCCCTGTCGATCCTCAGCACTGCACAAGCGGCCAGCGACAGCGCAACACCAGCATACTGGCATTACGAGTGTGGCTGAAAGGACTGGCCAATGACAGCACAAGACAGGCGTGCGTGGGTGCTACAAATGCAACCAAGTGATTTTATCATGAGTATACAGTTCACTACTAGCTCGCGTTATATGGACAGGCCGGAATGTGTCAGTCAACGGGTATGGTGCTGCCAATCTGGCAGCACTGCACAAGTGGCCAACGACAGCATGAACGGATGCGGCACCATCGCGGAACAAGTTCATTCGGACGTTACAAATGCAATCGAAGGATTTCATTATGAATATATAGCTCGTTATTAGCTTGTTATTATAGGGCTGGCTGGAATCTGTCGATGCTGCCTGTCGACCGGTGCATGGTGCTGTCGATCCGGCAGCATTGTGTAGCCGATCAATGACAGCACGAGATGGGTACATGCGGGTGCTACAAGGGCGACTAGACTGTCTTATGGATTAGATGCATCAATACCGGCTTGGTATTGCACTGCCAGGCGGGGCAGCCAGTCGACATGTCCATGGTGCTGTCGATCTGGCAGCGCTGCATGAGTGGCCAACGACAGCGTGAACGCGTGAAGCGCCATGGCGTGATGGGCGTGTCCAGTTGTTATGAATCCAATTAAATAGTTTTTTCTTGAATATACAATTCGCTTTTAACCCTTTGTTGTACGGCTAGGCCAGAATGTGTCAATGCAGCCTATGGACCAGTGTATGGTGCTGTCGATCCGGCAGCGCTGCACAAGTGCCCAATGACAGCATGACGCGTGAAGCGCCATGGTGTGATAGGCATGTACAGGTACTATAAATCCAATTAAATAGTTTTGTTTTGAGTCTATGACCCATTGTTAACGCTTCATCATACGGCTAGGCCAGAATGTGTGGATGCAGCCTGTTGACCAGTGCGTGGTGCTGTCGATCTGGCAGCGGCATACGTGGCCAACGACAGCGTGAACACATGAAGCGCCATGGTGTGATGGACGCATACAGGTATTATAAATAGCTTCGTCTTGAGTATATAGTTCGTTGTTAACTCCTTATCATACGGCTAGCCGAAATGCACTGATGCCGGTATTTGATAAGTGTATGGTGCTGTCAGCGGGCGTCCCCTGTCGATCTCCCCCAGCACCGCATAGGCAGCCAGTGACAGCGCAGCGCCATCTCAAGACAGGCACATGCTTATCCTATGAATGTGTCCTGAATAGTTTATAAAGAATATATTTATTGTTATGGGACCCTTATCTCGCTGCCAGGATGGAATATGTCGACGCAGCCTATCGACCAGTGCATGATGCTGTCGATCCGGCAGCGCTGCACGAGTGGCCAACGACAGCGTGAATGCGTGAAGCGCCATGGCGTAATGGGGGTGTGCAGGTGTGATGAATCCAGTTAAACAGTTTTTTCTTGAATATATAATTCATTTTTAACCCATTATTGTATGACTAGGCCGGAATGTGTTGACGCAGCATATCGACCAGTGCATGATGCTGTCGATTCGGCAGCGCTGCACGAGTGGCCAACACCAGCGTGAACGTGTGAAGTGCCATGGTGTGATGGGCGTGTGCAGGTGTTATGAATCCAATTAAATAGTTTCTCCTTGAGTCTATAATTCGTTGTTAACGCTTCATCATACTGCTAGGCCGGAATGTGTCAATGCAGCCTATGGACCAGTGTGTGGTGCTGTCGATCCGGCAGCGCTGCATAAGTGGGGAACGACAGCGTGTACGCGTGCAGCGCCATGGCGTTATGGGCACGTTCAGGTGTTATAAATCCGATTAAAGGGTTTTTTCTTGAACATATAATTCGTTGTTAACTCTTTATTGTACGGCTAGGCTGGAAGGTGTTGGTGCAGCCTATCGACCAGTGTATGGTGCTGTTGATCCGGCAGCGCTGCACAAGTGGCCAATGACAGCGTGCACGGTTGCAGCGCCATGGCGTGATGGGTGCCTGCGGATCTTTCAGGTACGCTCAAAAAATTTCATTCTATATATTTAGAGCATCATAATTTCATTATTCTCTGGCCAGGCCAAAAGGCGCTGATGCCGGCAATCGACGAGTGTATGGTGCTGTCATCAGCGTCCCCTGTCGATCCCCCCCAGCACCGCATAAGCAGCCAGCGACAGCGCAGCACCACACACTGGTTCATAGGCTGCATTGACACATTCCGGCCTAGCCGTATGATGAAGCGTTAACAATGGGTCA